AGTGTGGTCATCCAAACACACCCACCTTTCCCTTCTTATTCTGGTTACCTTGTTTGTTGTCCAAACCCAGGGCTTTTTTTGGAGCAGGAACTCCTTTGCATGTTAGGCCACACCCCCTAATGTAGCCTATCCTAATGAGTTTCTGCTGTTGGGTGTGGCCTGTTATGCTAATGAGTTCCTGCCGGGCATGTACAACTTGGGAGCCAGTCGGAACTCCGTTCCTGTGCGTTCCTGCAGAAAAATAGCCCTGGGGGTCGTTAATTCATAAAGTCGCCATAAGCCGGAAGCAACTAGACGGCACCTCACACACGGGCATACTTTGAAGTATCCACTCCTAATCGGATACTAAGGTAACGTAGACCCAAACTAAGTTTCTTTTAAAGAATGTGTTGACAATAGCTACAATTTAATGTACAAATATTTATTTTTGAATTTCTATACCAACGTCCCCCGGAGGGCTCAGGGCGCTGTACAACACAGTTTAAAACACAGTTTCACAGGCATCTATAAAATCCAGTTTAAAACCCATTTAGATTAAATCTTAAGAACATTCTGATGGTGTAAAGTAATTATTAATTCCTCTTATGGGGGGCAGATCAGGGCCAGATGTGATGGTAAACTGTTGCTATCCTCGACCACAGGCCTCGTGGAACATCTCAGTCTTATGAGCCCCACAGAACTGTCTCAAGTCCCGCAGGGCGTGGATGCCACCAGTTCTGCCTCCTGCCAAAAGACCTACCGCTATACCTGATGAAGCAACAGAAAGAGCAGTCATCCTTTTTGTGTGGACTCTGCTACTCACAAATACATCGATAACAGGCGCCATACACCGCCTTACTCCCCAACAGGGACACACACCAGCTTACGTTATTCTCTCCTCTGTATTGTTCTCACAACAACCTTGAGAGGTAGGCCAGGCCAAGAATGTGTGAACGGCCCCGTGGTTACCCAACAAGCTCCCGCGGCGGGGGTGGGTTTTGAAGTTGTATCTCCTTGACCCTAGTCCGACACTTGAACCACTGTCCCACAACGGCTCTCGATAACTGAGGGAAGCTGTTGAACGCGTTCTCCTTGACCCCTCCCTCAAAGGAAGCGACCGGTTCCATCCTCCCTGCCTGGGCTGCTTTCCTCCCCCAGCAGCTTGTGTCGTTCTCTCCTCCTCCGTTTCATCCTCACGCCAACCCTGTGAATTACGTCTGGCTGACCCAAGGCCACCGAGCAAGCCAGCCTTCCTGACTTCTCGTGAGTAAAACTGAACTTCCACTGCAAATACCAGAGATTGTTCAGGAGCTAATCTGGGCTGGGATGTCCGAATTCCCTTCATTTTTTGGCACTGAAAGTCCAGTCATCATCCTGAAGCCAGTGGCCGATTCTGAGGCTCTGAGCTTCATTTTCCGAGGAGTGACGCCTGCCACATTAGACAACGAGTCTGTCATGGTCAGTACTGTCTACTCAGACTAACAGTGGCTCGCCAGAGTCTCATGCCAAGGTCTTTCACATCCACTACTGCTTGATCCTTTTAAACTGGAGATGCTGGGATTGAACATGGTACCTTTTGCACAAGGAGGAGGAGGAGGAGATTAGATTTATACCCCACCCTTCATTTGGAGTCTTCTATCTGCTGGTAGAAGAAAAAGAGATTGAATTTATCCCCCACCCTTCACTACCCGAAGGCGTTCCAGTGTGGCTTACAATCTCCTTTCCCTTCCCCTCCCCACAACAGACACCCTGTGAGGTAGGTGGGGCTGAGAGAGCTCTTTTGAGAACAGCTTGTGAGAGAACAGCTCTAAAAGAACTTGTAACTGACCCAAGGTCACACCAGCAGCTGCACGTGGAGGAGTGGGGAATCAAACACCTTTAAGACCTTGGATAAACCTTTGTTGGTCTCAAAGGTGCCATTTGACTCTAAATTTGTTCTACTGGTTCTCCCAGATTTTATTTATTTATTTATTTATTTAATTACATTTATACCCCGCCCTCCTCGCGAACGGGCTCAGGGCGGCTCACATAAGGCACCATGTGCATTCAGTATACAAACTACAGATACAAATATAAATATAAGATTAAAACAATTTAAAATCAATACTACAGATGCATAAATAAACTCACAAATAACATCATACGCACAGTTTTCACCAATAGTACATACTGGCGATAACTTTTACTATATCAGAATTTGAAGGAAAATCTGTTACCTTTCTCACAATAAAAATAAAAAGCTTGGCCTCCCTAGGGCCCGGGGTCGCCAGCTGGTGTTGCGACACCGACCGAAGTGCTCTTTGGGGAATATATGGGGAGTCCGCGTTTCTAATCACTACACCAAACTGATGGTTCCTGGCTTGAAGGAAATCCACTTGGCCCTGGCTCCAGTCTCCCGAGTGAGATCTTGGCCTGCAGAACTTAATGCAGTTCCGCAGGTCCTGCAAAACGGAGATGTTCCACCAGGCCCATGGTTAAGACGGCGTGAATCTAAACTGAAGCTGGCCTCCCCCTATGCTGCTCTGTGATGCTGTGCTCGGCTCCCTCTGCACTATTTCCAACTGATATTGATTTTGTCTGCCTCCCCCCCTCTTAATTATAGTTACATCTACCTAATGTCAGCTGAGCCTCTGGCATTGCTGCCATGGCGGATGGGGGGGTGGGGAAGATGTTGGTCTTTTTCTGTCCTGGAATCTTAAATTTAGTTTCTTCTTATGCTCTTCTTATCTATGTAGCCTCAGCTAGTGACCTTGGTACCTTGTTACTGCTTTCCCCTGGGAATGTCGACCCGTTAGCTTAGGTGGGCTTTTGCTGATGCCCTGATTGGACCTGGGTTGTCAGGGGGCCCCTCTGAATTATGTGTAACTCCCCGCTAGTGCGTTTTCCGGTAGTTCTAACACAGAATGTATGCACAGATGACCTACCTTTACTGTACTCAATAAACTCTACTCTTCTGAATGAAAGTTGTTGGGAACTGATTGCTGTGGGACTCTGACACCTATGCACACTTAGAGGTCCAGGAGTAGACGATTACTGGTGCCATCGATACTGGACTATTAATGGAATGTAAAGTGAGACACTGGATTCTAATTGTTAAAACGTTTTAATTGTTGGTTTAATGCTAGAATCATGCTGTTGTAAGCTGCCCTGAGCCTGCTTGTGGGGGTCGGACGGCGAAAAGCCAAATAAAATAAAATAAAATAAAAAATCAGACCATCCAGTAGTGTTCACCGCAGAGGAACCAGAGAAGGTATGTCTTTAAAATGCTGAGGGAAGATGCTTTTGACAGTGTTCTCTACAACTACTGATATCCAATAAGTCTATGACTTCCCAGTACGTGACTCATTTCCTGACACAAAAAGGCATTCATTTCCTGCACAAGACACGTAGAGACAGGTGCTGGAAAAGATTTTATGCACTGTTTTGTGGGGGAAAAGGTTCAGATAAGTCACCAAATAAAAGGAGCACTATTCGAAGAGCTAACATTTTGCAAGACAAATTTAGAAAATCATGGCAGAATTTCTTTGAAATCTGGTAAGCACTTACCTACAAGGGAAAATATTCAACTTTAGCAGCTTATATTATTTCATTAATGTAAAAGCTGGTCGCCTTTGTCTTTTGCATGCGTATAAAAGTTCCTCCCTGAGAAATAATTCTTTCACAGACAGCGGAATGAATGAGCCCTGTGTTAACACTGTGTGACACCATGAATTAAGGATATAATAAAAGGTATAATACACCTAGTGTAAATACTCGCACACTTTTTAATAGCCTGTGTGTCACAACTTAACAATTCACGGTTAAGGGAAGTTACACATCTAAGACAATGGCGTTCAATAAAAGTGTTGGGAGACAGATGGGGGAATTTATGAAAACGAACACATGAAGGGTTCTTGACGAAGAAGAGTACTTTGTCATTTAACAGAACGTTTCATTTTAGGATCTGGGAGCACTCTGCTGACAATTAAACTAAGAACGTATCTGCACAATGGAACCGAGGATAGTATAAGAGTTTAAGGGGGAGGGGGGAACTAACAGCACGGATAGTTGCTTGCAGAGTGAGAAATGAAAGGGGGAATAAAACCAGAATGGCACCAGGCACTAATGGATCAAACAAAAAGCCAGTTCTTTCTATTCTGTCTTGCCTGAGCATGATCAAGAAACAGACTCCATTTTGAGGAGGGAAGTAATGTTTCCGAGCAAGGGAAGGGGGCATGGTATAGCCCGATCTTGTCAGATCTGGGAGGCAGGGTCAGTACTTGGATGGGAAGGAAGACTCTGCAGAGGAAGGCCATGGCGAACCACCTCTGCTTCTCACTTGCCCTGAAAGCCCCTCGCTGGGCTCGCCATAAGTCAGCTGTGACTTGACAGCACTTTAGACACACACACACACACACACACAACATTTCTGTGGTACACGGCCCCTGTTCTTCCCCCCATGCAATCCTAGGTGAGGGCTCCCCTTTTCACGCAAGATGGGAAAAGTTTCAAGGGCCACCATACTTGCCTTGCTCCGATAGCTTCCTCTTTCTTCAATCACCTCAGAACATTTTGGGGGACGGGGGTGGGTGGGGAGACTTTCCCCCTCCTCTGCAGTGCTGAGGAGAACGAGACGCCTCCCACCAAGGGCCTGTCAAGGGCACAGTCCTCTCTTGAGATGCTGGGGGTGCTGGACTGACCAACAAAGTCAGTGGGAACGAAACGCGGAGGAGGTCGCTGAGGTGAACTAATGTCGCACAGAAGCTACCACCCGCTCGGCTAAATTTGAGGAGTATGAGGTGAATGGAGGGGGAAGGAGGAGACGGATCCAGGGTTATGTGGCAGGTGGGGACATTGTTGGAACTCTCCCTGTTCCAACAATGATCTCCCGCTTCCTGCCAGCAATTTTGCTACACGTTTATTTACGATACATTTATACAGCTAACGGAGGAGAAAAAAACCACTTCCCCATGACTTACATCACTGGGGGAGGGGAAAGCAAACGTACATGGCAACGACTGTGTTCAAAACAAGAAGATTACCTCACGGTGATTTAGAAGCCTTTCTAAATCTGCTGCCATTTGATTCTTGACACGCAGCAAAGCTGTCTTTTCTTTATTTAAAAGGCTGGTGGAGGAAAAGGATAGTATTAGGAAATAAAGTAATAGCGAGGGATTATCTCTTCTAATCTTGTATTCTGGTTACAACATGAATTTTTGAAGCAAGCGGTTGGTAACCATGAACATATTGCTGAAGCAACAGCATGAAGACTCTTCCCTAGTAAAAACATTGCTCTTGGGGGTGGTGGGTGGTGGGAAGGATTGTGAATGCTTTTGTTAGACTGTGATCTATAGACCATTTAAGCCTACTATTTAAACCCCCTATGGGTCCCGATGCTTTAATGGGATGAATCCATCGTAAATGTTAAATGTGCTTGTCCTATCAATCAAATTAGAGCACTGAGTCAGTTGACTTTAATTTTCTTTAATATTACTTCTTCAAAAATAGAAACACACAGTAAATTAAATAGTGGCTTGATTTATAGGACTGCTCAAGGCACGGCGTTCGATTCTGGCCGCCACCTTTCAAGGAGGCTGCTGAACAACTGGGAAGCATCCAAACACGGATTATGGAGGTTGTAGAAGACGTGGGGAAACTGCTGGAAGCCAGCAGACATTCAGTTAGGTGTCGCGGTTAGGAGCGCAGATTCTAATCTGGGAGAATTGGGGTTGATTCCCCAATCCTCCACATGCAGCTGCTGGTGTGACAAGTTATTTCAGAGCTGTTCTCTCAGGAGAAGTTCTCAAAAGAGCTCCCTCAGCCACATCTACCTCACAGGGTGTCTGTTGAGGGGAGGGGAAGGGAGTTTGTAAGCCGCTCTGAGACTCCTTTGGGTAGTGAAGGGCGAGGTATAAATCCAATCTCTTCTTCTTCTTCTTTTACCTCACAGGGTGTCTGTTGTAGGGAGGAGAAGGGAAAGGAGTTTGTAAGCCGCTCTGAGACTCCTTTGGGTAGTGAAAGACGGGGTATAAATCCAATCTCTTCTCCTCTTCTTCTTATCTTTACAAAGGAAGAAAACGGACAGACACTGTTTGGGGGAAGCCGTAATTGAAGAGAAGAATTTCTTAAGTGTGTTGTTCTCATTGGCCTCCTCAAAGTGACTTTGTTCAATTTTTTGCTTGTGTTACTGAGCTGAAACAATGGAATGGATCAGGTCTGAAGTCTTCCTGGGTCTGTATCTATGCAAGACGGACTGCCGGACTGAAGTTGTGTGGACCAGATGGCAACCTTTCAGATCCCAGGAATACTAAACCTAACGAGTTTAAATATAGGGAGCTGGTATTGAACAAACCACTTCCTTGGAATTGTCCACTGGAAAACAACCTTTGACTTGCCATTCAGGACAAAAATGGACTGGTTAGGATCTAGGACAGGAACCTGTGAGTACCTTTGGAATTTTGTGTGGTGAGTGCCAGCCCAAAATGGCTGCCATGGGAGATGGTGCTAAAGAGAATACCTCCCTCCTCAGACCTCTTTGGGGCAAATGGGGGAGAGGAAGAGAAGATAACCAAAGTATCCGGCAGCACTGTGGTAAATGAAGAATAAGCAAGCCAGTCAATCAGCATAATGTCTCACAGAAAGGACACAGAGGCTAAAGCAACTGGTGTTCTGACAAATTCTACCTCAGAACATGGAGGTTCCATACAGCCACCACAGCCAATAGCCATTGATGGGCCCTTCCTTCTTGAATACATCCTTGAATACATCCAGGCTCTTTTTTAAAGCCACCCACGTTATTGGCCAAGAAGGCCTCCTGCAGCAGTGAGCTCCGCAAATTAATTATGCATTGTGAGAGAAAGTACAAGAAATTGGCCACAGAATAAGAGTTCAAATTGTCCTTCGGGCTGCCGAGAAGGGAGCAAGAGGGGTTCGTGCCCCTGCGCTTCCACTTAGGCACAGATAACAGCAGGGTGTAAATTCTATTGAGGACACCATTTTTAGATGCCTGTACCAACGCCTGCTATTCAGTGGTTATTTAATGAAGCACTGCAAAGATCTGTAGCACTAGCAGATCCTGGTCTACAGCGGGAGGCTCGGGCCCCCTCCACGGCACAGAACACCTTTGATTAGCTCCAGCTGTTTCTCCCGCTATGGCCATTTCTTGAAAAGAATGAGGGACACAGGAAGCCACCTTATACTGAATCAGACCACTAGTCCATCAAAGTCAGTATCGTCTACTTAGACTGGCAGCGGCTCTTCAGGCAGAGGTCTTCCACATCACCTGCTACCTGATTCTTTTAACTGGAGGTGCTGGGGATTGAACCTGGGACCTTCTGCCTGCCAAGTGGATGCTCTACCACTGAGCCACGGCCCCTCCCTTCATCTGATCTGGCCACAGCGGTCCATACTTCCAAGTTAGACTACTGTAATGAGCTCCACGTGGGGCTGCCCTTGAAAACAGCTCGGAAACGTCCATTAGTCCAAAATGTGGTGGCCGGGCTACTGTCAGGGGGATGGTTACAGTGACTGTGCAACCCCTTTGTTGAAAGATCTGCACTGGCTGCCCATCTGTCTCTGAGGCACAACTGCAAGAGCTAGTTCTTACCCTTTAAGGCTCTAAATGGCTTAGGGGCCAGGGTACCTGAAGGACCGTCTCCTCTCGCATTATCCAGCCTGCCCGTTAAGATCAGCCTCTCAAGCCCTACTTCTCTGTGCCTCCTGTCTTCAGAGGTGAGGCAGGTGGCCGCTAGAGACGGGGCATTTTCTGTGGTGACCTCCTGCCTTTGGAATGCCCTTCCCTTTGAGGCCCGCCTGGGGCCTACTTTCTTTTAGGTATGAGGCTAAAACACATCTTTTTTTTAGCCATGCTTTTAATCACAGGTTTTATCTTATCAGTTTTTCTACGGCCTGCTTCTCTCTGCTGCTTGCTCTTTTTGTGTTTTGATACTGTCTGGAGCTGAATGAGATTGTCTGGAGCTTTGGGGTTGGGTGTCGTCAATACGCAGATGACTCCCAAGTTCTTGGTTGTGAACCGGTGCTCTGAGGCTGCTGTCAGGCGGCTAAGGCAGAATGACTTGAAGCTGAATCCAGATAAAACAGAGGTAGGGAAGTTTGATATTCTAGAGTAGGGGTGTCGAACTCATTTGTCACAGGGGCTGGATCTGACATAAATATCACTTTGTCCAGCCGGGGCCATGTGTGCCATAAAATGTAATGCCAGGTACCGGAGACATAAACTGTATAAAGGACAGCATCTGGTAAGCTCCGAGTTGGTGCATCCTCACTGCAAGGCCTCATGGGCTGGGAGGGGAGTGCAAAGGAAAACCCACATGGGCACAATGGAGAGAGATGCTCCCACGCCGCTTGACCATTGCAGACGAGGCTGTTCCGCCATGCTGAAGCCACAATTGGAGTGGTCCTGCCTATTCTCCCCCTCGAGCAGTCTCCTGTTCCCTCCGTTGCACTAGTCGCTCGTGGGCCACATAAGAGCCCTGGACAGGTCGGTCCTGGTCCCTGGGCCGTATGTTTGACACCCCTGTTCTAGGGGGGACTTTATGGTACGCCGCCTTGAACCAGAAAGGAGGGGTACACATGTTTTAACAAATAAATAGATGTTGTGGAAATAGGTATTGTGGTAAGCCACCTTGAGCAGGGCACTGAAGAGGCAGCATGGAATTATTCCAAACATACAAACAAACAAACAAACAAACAAATAAATATTGACTTCTTTATCCCAATGGGGACCCTAAGTGGCTTACATCGTCCTCTTCTCCTTCATTTTATCCTTATAACAATCCTGTGATGTAGGTTAGGCTGAGAGTGTGACCCAAGATCACCCAGCAATCTCCCACGACACAAGTGGGGATTCAGATGTGGGTTTCCCAGATTCTAGCAAACGGCTTGCCCAAACGGAAAAGTAAAACTATGGACAATTAACCATGTGCAGCCAGCTCAGGCACGACGGGTTTGGTTATGCCAATCGTCCAATAAAGACTTTCAGCTGAAGACAAAGTTTGCTCACAAGAAAGCATAAGATGTCCTGCTAGTTTGGTGTAGTGGTTAAGTGTGTGGACTCTAATCTGGGAGAACCGGGTTTGATTCCCCACTCCTCCACTTGCACCCACTGGATGACCTTGGGCAAGCCATAGTTCTGGCACAGCTGTTCTTGAAAAAAGAGCAGTTTCTGTCAGAGCTCTCCCAGCCCCACCTACCTCACAGGGTGTCTGTTGTGGGGAGGGGAAGGGAAAGGAGTTCGTAAGCCGCTCCGAGACTCCTTTGGGTAATGAAGGGCGGGGTATAAATCCAATCTCCTCCTCCTCCTCCTCTAAAACTGGAGGATGTAAACAGTGCTGACAGGCTATTAAGGAGAAGAGGATCGCAGGTTCTAGGAAGAGACCAAAATCTGTCATGCTTACCCAACGTCCTTCTCAAGTTGCACAATATGTTCTTTCTGCAAAAGTATCTCAGCATCTCTCTGTTGCACAGATTCAATCAGGTATCTATAAGGCTGTTGGACTTGATTCAGCAAAGAATTTGCTCTGTCCAGCTTGGGGGGGGGAAAGGAAATCCAATTCATTTACATGTTAGGAAAGAGAACTTCACGTTATTCATTGTTCAGAAAAGAATAAACCTATGATTAATCTTAAATTTCACGCGACGAGAGACTCGGAGTGAACCCTAAGACTCTCGTCACTTCAAACATTCAACCAAGATGCTTTTATTCTTATAAAGACCCCCTTTGTGCGGTCTCTCTTAGAACGTACCAGTGAAGCCTCTGGCAGCTTATACATACACCAGTGCTTCTTAAATGTAACTTAGAACAGGTAGTTATTTAGAGAACAATCAGCGCCGTAGATGCTAATCTGGGTCCTTTCAAAGTTTCATTTATTAGAACATTTTAAACCTAAGCTGTTCAACAGAAACTGTCAAATTTGGTAAGCAATTGCTAACCGGAATGCACTTAAACATTGCATTTAGGAGCAGAAAACACCGCATATGCTTATTCTGTTCCATTGTGCCCTGACGATTTTTTTCTATATTATATTTATACCACATAATGCCTTTGGTTTCCTTGCTAATGGAAAAAAGAAAGTATTCTAACTGTTAAGGCCCATAACAATTCAGAAATACTCCTGTTTCCCCCCCCCCCTTGAGAACCGCCCTGCTCCTGTATTTCTAATTGGAAAAAAACACAAAAAACTCCAAGAAATGTTTTCTGCTTTGGAATGAATAAAATACTTTAAGACAAGAACACTGCAGAACTGCAATGATAAGGATGGCATTTTTATAAAGAGATCAAAATTGCTTTTATAATGGGATAGGACTGTAGTCTATTGCAATGTTTCCTTCTATCTACATAATCTATTTTCTACTGCAACTGGCTTGTACCTTCGTAATCCACTCTCAGCATTGTTTGAGGTACATCATGCCTTAGACACTTTTCTTTTCACAATGTTTCCCAGTTTTTGTAATCCTAGTCCTGATGAACTGTTACTGGATGTTTTGTGCTGTCTGACGGAATTGTTTCCTATATTATGGTCCCTGTCACACAGCAGGGGAAAAAGCGCCCAAAGCGCGGCTTTTAAAAGCCGCACCGAATTAGAGACGCCGTGGCGGGATCCCACGGATCCCCTGAGCCACGGCGCCGTTGCTCCCTGGCACGATCAGATGCCGGGGAGAAAGCGACGGTGGGAAGGGGAGGCTGGAGAACTGCGCATGCTCACACATGCGCAGTTCGGCCAGGAACCGGGGATGCGCCAGCACATCCTTGCGCCAGTGATCCCACGGCTGGGCTTGAGGCGCTCTTCTCCGAAGAACCACCTAGGTAGGTGGTTCTTTTTTGGTGCGGGGTTTTGGGCGGGAGGGACGGATCGGGGACGGAAGGCAACAATTCCCAGGTGTTGCCGTGGGATCACGCCCGTTTGCTCCGCCCCCGAACCGTCCCTTCTCTCGGCCCAAATCCACTCGTGTGACCGGGGCCTTTGTAAACCTTATTCGAGTCGCAGTGAGGAAGGTAAGCGACAAATTAAGCACACAGACATTCCTTAATTTGCAGAATGCAGATTTTTGCACCTCTGTAATGGAAAAGGTTGGTAGTCTACAGCAATGTGTATTGTAGGTATTACCTTGCTTTTACTGCATTGCTTGTACCTTGTCATCCACTGTCTGTGTTGCTATTGTATACCCTGCCTCAGGAAGTTTGCTGTTTGCATTGCTGTCCGACTCTGCAATTCCCAGTCCTACTGCATCGTTCATAGGTTGCCTTATGAAACCCGTTTGCTCCGCCCCCGAACCGTCCCTTCTCTCGGCCCAAATCCACTCGTGTGACCCTTTGTAAACCTTATTCGAGTCAAAAAGCAGAACTCACTGAGTGCCAGCTCAATCAGAAGAGTTTAAACTAGTTGTCTAAAAGAAATACATTCATTTCCCCTTCTAGCTTTTGCAGGATGTGGAGGCCCCTTCTAGCTTTTGCAGGATGTGACCATTCAGGTCTTATGAACAGTTCTGATTCACAGAAAATGAAATAACCCGATCAAATAGGTCAATATGGTATCTCTACACATGCTTATGCTTCCATCATTATTTGTGTGCATTCCAATGCTGCTTTAAAAAGTAATCTGTGAATTGTTGGGCTGATTTTATCAGGAGGTTTCAGAGCTCTTGGAGGCAGACTATAAATTAAGTAAATAAATAAGGACAAGCAATGCTATACAGAAATCAGCCTTCGCACACACAATTCAGCACCACGTTTCCATTACTTTTGAGTTCTTCCACCACTCCCAGAAGATTTATTTAGAAAACATATGTGGCTTCTCTAGAGACTAAATATATTAATGAATTCTTCCTACATGCCAACTCAGAAATCTGAATAGAGATGGCAACAGCTCAGTGCAACAGTATATATAAGAAGTTATCTGAATTGCCAACTTTCATTTAAAAAGTCTCTAGCTCCTTTCATTGTGGAGGTATAAGGGGAAAGGCATCTCTCCACATGGGATGGGCTGCAGACTTACTTTTATTTTTAAAACGAAGGCTGGGAATTCTGAAAAACTGTTACACGCATTGTTATAATGTTATACTGAGACTGAATTACTGATTTAAAACACTGAAAAAGCCACAGTGGCCCTGGGGGAAGGGAGCATATGCTGCTACTGGTGGACTAGGGCAAGGAAACTGAGGGGAAACCTGCCATGTGGAAGCCCCATTGTTTACTATGCTGTATCGCCAGCTGCATCAGCAATGAGGAAACTACTCATTTCCCCATGTGAAAACCATCATATTTTAGCAAACCCTGAGACTGGGAGAAGAAGAATTTCCAGCAGCGGCTTAGACTTAAACTACGTTTCCAGAAGACAGGCTGTATTTATTAGTGTTTTGGTTGTGGATGTACAATCTATCTAATACAAAAGCCAGTTTCAAAACATGCCATCACACTCTAGCGCGGTGATACTCAGGGGCCTCAGGAGCCACCTGTGGCTCTTCTGAGCGCTACTCCCCAGTATGGCGCCTCCCACATGTTCAGGGCAATGTTCCCTCTAAGCTGAGTTAGTGTGAGCTAGCTCACAGTTTTTTTAGCCTCCGGCTCACACACCTTTGTCTCGGCTCAGGAAGGGATGGCTCCAGAGCAAACTAATTTATGCAGTTGCCAAATCGCTCGCTCACAACTCCAATGCCAGTCGCTCACCAAGCAGAATTTTTGCTCTCAAGACTCCACAGCTTAGAGCAGGGGTGGCCAAACTTGCCTAACGTAAGAGCCGCACAGAATAAATGTCAGATGTCTGAGAGCCGCAAGGGCCGGAACCAATACCACTCACACATTTTGATTGAAAAATATGCAAATCTGCTTTTTTATGAGCATTAAATTAGACTGTGTGAAAGACTGTGTGGCTCCCAAACTGCCGGCTTAGAGGGAGCGCTGGTTCCAGGAACGTGGGCAAGTCTACTGACCAGGAGGGCTGGTGGCTGAGCAGGCGCTTCACCTCTCGAGACCCCTTCTAGTGGAAGGTCGGGAGGATGGGCGAGCTGCGCGCCCTGTGCCAGGGATGGAAGTAAAGGCCCACCCCCTCCTACAATCCCCCAACCTTCTCGGCGGCACCCGGACAGCTGCTGTGAGAAAACCAAGCCGGCCACAGGTAAGAGAGTAAGAAACCACCAACATTGTGCCGGCCACCTGGCAGCATGCTGGCCACAATGGGATGGCAGTGATTTCTCCACAGCCAGCTTGCTCTCTTCTGGACGCTTTGGCCGGGCGCCGTCTCATTCTCTTCCCTTCGCTGCTGTGCCTCATGCTGAGATCGGAGTGGGAAGGCAGAGGGATGCCCCCTTCTCGTCACTCCAGGTACACGAGGGCTGGCTAAGGTGGCCACAGGTAAGAGAGTAAGAAACCACCGTCACTGTGCTGGCCACCCGGCAGCAAGCTGGCCACAATGGGATGGCAGTGATTTTATCTCCCTTTCTCCACAACCAGCTTGCTCTCTTCTGGACGCTTCGGCCGGGCGCCGTCTCATTCTCTTCCCTTCGCTGCCATGCCTCATGCTGAGATGGGAGTGGGAAGGCAGAGGGATGGCCTTCTCGTCACTCCAGGCACAAGATGAGACAGTGGTGGGGAGAGAGCCCTGCATGCATGGAAAGAGGACTTTGGTAAGTGAACTGGGTATACAATTAATATCGTTATGTTTTGTTTGTGTGTGTTTGGCGGGGAGGGACACAGTAGTTGTGTGGTTGTGTGGCTCCGGGTTGACAGGAACCCCGGGGTGGGTCTCCGTATCTCGCGGAGTGAGGACCACAGACCAGTGTTCCCTCTAAGCCGAGTCAGTGTGAACTGCCTCACAAGACTTTTAGCCTCCGGCTCACACACTTTTGTCTCGGCCCAGGAAGGGAGGGCTCCAGAGCGAACTGATTTATGCGGCGGCCAAATGGCTCGCTCCCAACTTTAATGCCGGTCGCTCGCAGAGTAGAATTTTCGCTCACAAGACTCCACAGCTTAGAGGGAGCACTGGTCACAGCGCTAGTGTGACCAAGAAACAGAAACCGGGATGGGGCTATGCAGGCAGAAACTGGCTCAGTTCACCAGGGGCAGGGAGCAGCTTTATCATTCCCCTAAAAAGGTATCCCCGGGTTCAGTTGGCTCCTGTGTAAGCAAATGCTGTCACCTGCTCTTACAGGGATGCTGTTGAGGTAAGGATGAAGCTGCACCGTGAGCACGTTATTGCACAGCTACTTCTGAGGTCTCTGCAGTCAGCCCTCTACAAGTCACTGGGGCCAGATTCTAAGCAGCGCTACCCGGAGACACCAAAAACAGGTTTCCTCCACCTGCCTCCCAGGAGCTGTCTGTGTCCCGAGCATGGAGTCAACTACGGGCCGCCCAACTCTTGCTGGTGGAAAGCCGGGCCAAGTTGCAGCTGGCTTATGGTGACCAGTGTTCCCTCTGAGTTAGTGTGAGCCAGCTCACGGTTTTTTAGCCTCCCGCTCACACAGTTTTGCCTTAGCTCAGGAAGGAGGGCTCCAGAGCAAACTGATTTATACAGGAGCCAAATCGCTCGCTCACAACTTTAATGCCAGTCGCTCACAGGGTAGAATTTTTGCTCACAGGACTCCACGGCTTAGAGGGAGCATTGATGGTGACCCCACAGGGTTTTCAGCCACAACAGACACCAGAGCTGGTTTGCCCCTGCCTGCCTCTGTGTAGCGACCTTAGGACTTCCTTGGTGGTCTCCCATCCAAATACTAACCAAGGTCGACCCTGCTTCGCTTCCAAGATTGGGCAAGACCAGGGCGGCCTGAGTCATTCGGGACATGGTGCTACCTGAGCTGACTTGGTTGCCTTTATTTGTTCGTCGTCTCCCACCTTTCCCGCAAGCAACACAGGTATGGTCTCCAACCTCGAGGCGGGACCTACAGATCTCCCAGAACTATGATCGCTCTCCAGATTACAGAGATCAGTTCCCCTGGAGAAAACGGCTGCTGTGGGAGGTGGGCTCTACGACATCATGCCTTGCTGAGGTCTTCCCCTCCCCAATCCCAAAAAGCTCCGGGAATTTCCCAAGCAGGAGCTGCCAACCCTAAACACGGGATGACATATAGGGTCTGCCATGCTCCCTCTAAGCTGTGGAGTCTTGTGAGCAAAAATTCTACTTGGTGAGCTACTGGCATTGAAGTTGTGAGTGAGGGATTTGGCTCCTGCATAAATCAGTTTGCTCTGGAGCCGTCCTTCCTGAGCTGAGACAAAAATGTGTGAGCCGGAGGCTAAAAAAACTGTGAGCTAGCTCACACTAACTCAGCTTAGAGGGAACACCAATGGTCTGTACCTGTCTCCCTTTTTTATCCTCACCGCACCTCAGTAAGGTGTGCTATGTCCAAGGTCACCCAGTTTCTAGATTCGAGACATTTATAAGAGATACACATGTCAACCCGACCCTGTTTAGCTTCCGAGATCCGATGAGATTAGGCTCAACTGGGCCATCCAGGTCGGGGCCTGCCCAACTCTTAGCATCCCTTTTTAAAGGCTCACAGGTGGCTGGAGAAGGAAGGCAGAGGAGGGGAAAATCTGCTTCCGCCAGTGTCTTTTACTGGTGCTGCATCGTGCCTATTACACTGTGATTTATCATTCTGTTCTCAGCCAATATGTTCTGTATGTATTAGACCTCTGAGGAAGGCCTGTAAAGGCCGAAACGCGTTAGGTCTATCTTATCAGCTCTTGTATGTTTTTATAGTTTTATATGAGGTATGAATGGGCCCTTGTTTGTTAATTTTAATTTATGTTGAATAAACACACACATATATTTTTGTATATTTTATAATTAGATTTTTAGAGTTGGCCCTTTTCTATTCCTGACTAACCTTTTTAGGTTCCTCATTTATCAAGCAACATCTTCCGAGGGTCAGTAGAACCACACTTCACAAAAAATTCAATGAAACATAGATTTTAAAAAAAGACAGAAGAATTCTGCTTTTCTTTTTTCTTTTTACAGTGATGTAAGGCGTTACTGAGCGTGGCCTGCCTAACGACTCAGGAGGATGGGGAACAGTCAAGAAGAGCAGGGGAGTTTTCAGGTAAATACATTCTAAGCGATAAGGAATCTAAAAAAACCCCACAACCGTATAAAAAAGGAGAGGTATCACATGAAAAAAACATAAAAATACCTCAAGAAACGGCGAACCAGTTTTGCTAGTTCTTTGGCCTGTTCAGAAAAACAGAGACTTATCTGTCTCGTCTGCATTTTTGTTTAGTCTGCAGAGTAATCTGCCTTTTGATCTCGGCTTTAACGCGCAGGACGGATGGGTTTGGAAAAAGGGTGAGTGTGAATGCATTTCCCCCAATGGCCAAACTGTAAGACAGGCACTGAATGCTGGTTAAAATCACCAGAGGTGGCCCATTAGCAAAGTTGGGCTTCACTATCGTATTTTTTTACTTCTTTTCTGCGGGGAGCGGCTCTTCTACCTCTTGTGAAAATCTAAGCGATAAGGAATCTAAAAAAACCCCACAAGAACAGCCGTATAAAAAAGGAGAGGTATCACATGAAAAAAACATAAAAATACCTCAAGAAACGGCGAACCAGTTTTGCTAGTTCTTTGGCCTGTTCAGAAAAACAGAGACTTATCTGTCTCGTCTGCATTTTTGTTTAGTCTGCAGAGTAATCTGCCTTTTGATCTCGGCTTTAACGCGCAGGACGGATGGGTTTGGAAAAAGGGTGAGTGTGAATGCATTTCCCCCAGTGGCCAAACTGTAAGACAGGCACTGAATGCTGGTTAAAATCACCAGAGGTGGCCCATTAGCAAAGTTGGGCTTCACTATCGTATTTTTTTACTTCTTTTCTGCGGGGAGCGGCTCTTCTACCTCTTGTGAAATCCGGGTTCCTTGCTCCTTCTGGCGCTCCAGGTCTTTGGTGAGTAAGGAGTTCTGCTTCTCTAGCCGCAGCAGCCTTCTTGCCAAATGGACGCTGTATCAACAGGGGGGTGGGGGGGGCAAAGAAAAAAGATGACCGCAGATGGAATAGTTCCCCAAAAAGAATGCATACTGCTCGTCCTATCAAATGACACAATACAATGACAGTTGTTTGGAGAAACCGATACAGGTGTTTTGACCAATTCTGTCCTTCAGACATCTCTGATACGATAACACTGGGTTCCTTCTTCTCTCTATTGGTAAAAATGCACTGGCAAAAGCTTACCTGCCAAAGGAAGTGTTGGCAGAGTAATTAATACAGCAACGGTGCACGACCTGTTTAAGGAGTAGGCAAGGAAGTGTTGGGGAACTAACCAGGGGTCACTTCCTGCAGGACCGCGCAGGAGCGGAGCTCCGGCAGTAAAGAGCCTAGGGGGTGGGCACATGGAACAAGCCCCACCCCCTGCTCCCAGCAGCCCTTAGTCAGAGCAAGAAGCAGCCAGGTAAGCTGCAGAGCCCCCCCCAGGCTCCCACAGTCCAAAATAGTCCAGTGTCACCTTTAAGACCAAGTTTTATTCAGGTACAAGCTCTTCCTCCTCTGCGAGGGCAGATCTGCACGTTCCCCCCCCCCCAATAGCTAGCAATCCAAAACAGTCCAGTGGAGCCTGAGCGGTGGGTGTTGCCTTCTGACACACTTCCGGTGATGTCACGGGGTGTGGCATATGCAAATAAGTTATGCTAATGAGTTATGCTAATGAGCTCCTGCACCTCTTTTTCTACGAAATGACCCCTGGAACTAACATACTTGATAGGAAAGAGGAGAGATATAGATTGGTTCCTAACGACATCTAGTTAGGATGTAACCTAGGATGATGAGCTGTCTAGCCTCAACCAGGGCCAGGGCTTTTTCGGTCCCAGGCTGGCGGAACAGGCTCCTGACTGAGATCAGGTCCTTGCGAGACCTGTTACCGTTTCGCAGGGCCTCTAAAACGGAGCTGTTCCACCATTCCTTTGGTTGAGGTGGTGGGCATCTACTGGCTGGCCTCCCTATTGCTGCTGCATAAGATCGTTCTGGCCTGGCGTTGGCCCATTTATCGCCCGGCTGTAGAAACTGGAACTGCATGTATTGCACTGCCCATTTTAAATGTTTTAGATCGGTTTTACTGTGTTATCTCGTTGCATTATTTCATAATCATATTACATTTATTGCTGTAAGCCGCCCCGAGCCTGTTTGCAGGAAGGGCGGGAAATAAATCAAAATAATATATTTTTGAAAAATAAAATCTCTAGCTGAGAGCCTGAGGCTGAGTGTGGGACTTCTGAGAAGAAGGGGGAAATTGCCCTGAGAGTAGCGATCTGGAGACAGACAAGGAGTGACAGACAGACAGTTTTCAGCTGGGTTGGAACGATACTCAGTGCTGCCCTCCCCTCATAACCACAACCTGTATGACTTTGTTTACAGCGAGAACGGCCGGCGTCTGCTGCATTCTAGGTGATTATCAGAAAGCCTCCACGGACCACAACATTACCTTTAAGCAATCATTCGAGAAAAGCCTCTCTCTCGCTCACAGTTCTCTCAGCCATGGCAAATTATAAAACCATTGGAGTAAGCATATGAAGTAATTTATTTTTATGAGAGAGAAAAACAGCATACACTGTGATGCTCATTTGGTAGATAACATGCAGAGGTGTTTTTTTGTGTGTGCGTGTGTGTGTGTGTGTGTGTGTGATGCCAGGTTCATGACAATATTGTCTAGAACCAAACAAAGGTTAGTGAAAAGGAGGGCCAATATTAAAACCTTTCCATAAAAAGAAGTACATGTATTTATTGATAATAACAAATTTAAAACATATATAGGGGCCCAATTACAACCAAGGTATATAAAACATAACAATATTGAGGGCTTAAAAAGTTGACCTTACACGTTTCGGCCAAATAGGCCTTCCTCAGAGGTCATACATATGTGGCAAGATGGTTAATAATTATATTCACATAAACACAATCAGAAATATATACAAAGTATAGATTCAATAAGGACCATAAAGTAAATTGCTGTAAAAAATAAATTGTCCAGAAGTAAAATCACCAGGCACAGGATAAATATGCATATAAGGCCTTTGAAGTGCAATCAGTAGCCCAGTGATTATAAAATAAACTTATGGTCCAAAAATTTCCTTTTTTGATTGTGTTCCCACAGTATTCACAAGTAAAAAGCAGTGTGTCATTTATTTATGCACCTGACAATGTTTTGAATTGGATGCATGAGCGCATGAAGCTGCCTTATACCGAATCGAGTTCTTGGTCCATCAAGGTCGGTATTGCATACTCAGACTGGCAGCAGCTCTCCAGGGTCTCAGGCTGAGGTCCTTCACATCCCCTCCCACCTGGTCCCTTTTTAGCTGGAGATGCTGGGGATTGAACCTGGGACTATCTGCATGCCAAGCAGAGGCTCTGCCACTGAGCCACCCACAGCCCCTCCCTATGCTGGAGAATATCTTCCACATGCTCTAAGAAGGGAAACCTGGTGTCTTCTTGTTTAAACACTGGTACTCTTAAGAGATTTAAAATTACATAACGGAAGAATCTCTCCACAAATCTCATTTTAGCACTGTACTCTCCCCTGCCTGCCCCCCCCCCCCCCCCCCGGGGGGGTTTGTTTTTGTCATCACTAGCTATAAGTATCTTTTGGATGCAACATGAAGAGAATTGTGTTGCTTAAGTCTTGCTAATTTCCATCGGTAATCAGAATGCCAGGGAGGTGACGCAAGGAGACACGCGGGGACTGCAGCTCGGTATCGATTTGTTATTTGCACTCTGGGCATGACGGGCATCCTGACCGGCGGTGGCAGAATATTCGGCCCTCGCGGCACAGATAGGATTTATCCTTGATCCTGCCCTTTTCCCCAACAGAGGGCCAAGGAGATGTAGGAAGCGGTTAAGAGCAGGTTACTTCATAATATATATAAAAAGCAAAAACATTATGCAAACAAGACATTCACAAGGAGCGCAAAGCACAGCACAACTGGGCTGGGATAGATCAGAAAGTTTCTGCAGACGGAAGAGGAAAGGGCAACGTATGCCAGTCCCCCGTCCTGCAGAGTTCTGATGATCCCCCCCATACTGTTCCGGACGGGGTCCCCTGTCCCCCAGGAGCAGCATTTTAGGGGGCATTTGGGGCTGTAGAGGGAAGGAGGAAGTTGCTCTCCATGCACAGAAATCCCTTCTCCTCACAGAAATCCCCTCGTGGTTCCAAGCCTCACCAGTCAATGAGGATCCTCCGTCAACTTGATGAGCCAGTTAAATCGACACAGGTCCTTTACATGCCTTCCAAAGCTTTCTTAAGGAGTTCTGTTTCAACAAGACACGATTCCACCGTGGTAGGTGTTGTTGTTGTTGTTCAGTCGCACAGTCGAGTCCGACTCTTCGCGACCCCATGGACCAGATCATGCCAGGCCCTCCTGTCTTCCGCCGTCCTCTGAAGTTTGCTCAGTTTCATGTTCGTTGCATCTATGACACTGTCCAACCATCTCATCCTTTGCCGTCCCCGTCTTCTTTGACCTTCAGTCTTTCCCAGCATCAGGGTCTTCTTCTCCAGGGAGTGCTCCCTTCTCATTTGGTGGCCAAAGTACTTGAGCTTCAGTTTCATTATCTGGCCTCCCAGGGAACAGTCAGGGTTGATTTCATTGTCGTGATGGGACAGACTGAATCACCTGGAGGGGACAAGGGCTCACAAAAAAGGCTCTCCTGGGCTGAGCGAAAGGGCTGCACAGGTTCATATGGGGAGAGACGGTCTTGCAGGTCATGAAGGGACTTTCCAGCACTTTGAACTGAACTTGGGAACAAGCAGGTTTTCACTGTAGTATATTTAGTATAGCTGTTAAATGACAAAGCAGTGTGTCCTGACCAAAACCCACGATGCCGCTTTTTAGAGCAGACCAACTGAACTTCCCAAGTCACCTTTGCGGGCAGACCCACGCAGAGCACGTTACAGTAGTCCAGCCTCGAGGTCACCTTGGGATGGACTGCCTGAATCTGCAAGAGGTGCTAAATGCAGTTGAAAAGACAACTCATGTTCTTCTAGCAGGACGTCTCAGTCTAACAGGACTCCTAAGCTAGTCATTCCAAGACAGGCTCACCCCATCCTTACCTCTAGTGTATTATTCTTCCCAACAATCTCCACCTTTCACCTTGCTTGGATTTAATTTCAACATGTTCCCTCCCATAACCACTCAAAGACAGCATCCATGCACGTGCCCACAACAGACAGGGCAACTTTTTTTTTGGGGGGGGGGAACTTGCTGAACGAACTACAGACTTGGAACAGCAGACGGATGCCCCCCCCCTCCCACTTTGTATGATTTTAATGGCCTTACAAGAAGCTCAAAACTGTCCAGGATCTAAGGCACAATTTAAAGATTGTGTTGCAGAAAGGAATCTTGATACAGCCACTTGCAATAGCATAGAGCAGAGGTGTCGAACTCGTTTGTTATGAGGGCCAGATCTGCCATAAATGTCACTTTGTTGGGCTGAGCCGTGTGTGACATAAAATGTAATGTCAGGTACTGGAAACAGAAACTGTATAAAGGACAGCAGCTGGTAAGCTCTGAGTTGGTGTATCCTCACGGCAAGGCCCCATGGTCTGGGGTGTGTGTGTGTGCAGAGGAAGGCCCACATAGGTGGACTGGAGGGGCAGCAGGGCAGCGTGGGGCAGATGTTCCCATGATGCTTGACTGCTGCAGACAAGGTTGTTCTGCTGTGCTGAAGCCACAGTGGAGTGGCTCCCCCCACTCCCCCCCCCAAGCATCAGTTGCTTGTGGGCCGCATCAGAGCCCTGGACAGGCCGGTTCTGGCCCCCGGGCCTTATGTTCGACACCCCTGACACAGAGGGAGCAACACCTTGGGAGAGCCAGCGTGGAGAGCCAGTGTGTAGTGGTTAGAGTGGTCTGAAATAGGCATGAGACACCCTGGTCTGAATCCCCACTCTGCCGCAGAAGCTCACTGGGAGACTCTGGGCTAGTCATACTCTCTCAAGCTAACCTACCTCGCAGGGTTGT